AGAATTGAAAGAAATAAGGGGTTTAGATTTGAAATTAGATTTTGCTGTCTTCATGGGTGTTAAAAGACATGCCTGAGTAAGGAAAAATGCATGAGAGAGTTCAGGTTTTCCATTTGCATTTGTAGATTACAATAAATGTATTTTTGTAGTAAAATGGATGAATCAAGAACATTTCCCATCAGGCTTAAAGATCAGCTTTTTTATCTCTTCCTTGGGTTCCGTTCTTAATCATGAAATAATAGTAGTAAAGAAGTTAGACCAAGACAAGTGTCTGTATTGAGATAAATTCCAAGATTTGTTTTGTTTTCATTTTCAGGCTTGTGAAAACAAAAACTGGTCATTTGCTATGGAGATACTGGATGACCAACCTTTGTTGCGGTTAACTTACAACAGTGGTTTGCAAACAACTGACTTTGGGCCAGCAATTGCCTTCATCATGATATCAGTTTGTTTTAAAACAGTTGTTAAAGTATCCTGAATGATTTTGTAACATTGCTTTTCAGTTAAACCCATTGCTATGATTGCTGCAGAAGTAATGGGTGATTACCAATGGCACTTTTGAATAAGAGTGGAAATTAACAAGAAGGTAACCTTGTAGTTAAGGTCTGCGCCATACTAGTAGAAGGCCTTACAGTCTGCGCTCCAGAGATTGTAAGTCTTCTTTTGAATTTGCAGAAATCCTGCAGAAATTGTATATGAGCTTGAAAGGTGATCCAGAGTTCTCCTCTTGAGACCACATTGCCAGATTACCTGCCTTGGGTTTTTTGGTGGTGTTTTTTGGTTGTTTCTTTCTTTTTTTTTTTTTAATGGCTTATTCTCTCTCATTAATAAAATACTATTAGCTATTTGCTGCTCTTTCAGACATAGTCCCTTGCTGTGGCAGTGAACAAGATGGGCATCTAGCTATGAAGCAGAAACTCTATTTGTATGTGTATTGATTTGATCAAAGTTACATAATTACTGCTTTTGTTGGGCATTAATCATTCATGAATAGAGGTCTTTCAAGGAAAGAAAAATGTGAATCTTCTTATGACACAAAGCCAAATCTTTTTAATAGTCAAAGTAGCAGTCTAAGAATGGTGGTGGTGTTTGTTCCCACCAAATTGCCTGTTCTAAACTGTTATGCAAGTGCAAGTTCTGCTTGGTGGGCAGTCTTAATTATTTAGGAGCTACACATCTCTGTCTTGTCTTTTCTAAAAATAAGCAGTCGCTCTAGCGTATGCTGTTCCAAGAACTATGACAAGAGTAGTTTTGTGTACCCTTTCTTATATAATTCCTACTCCTGAAATGTTTTTGTTCAAGTGCTGAAGTAGTTCTGACCATGAAACTTAGGCGTTCTTTGCTTCCACTGATACAGTCTCTTCCTTGTTCGGTGGGTTGGAGGTAAAACCTGAAAACAGGCACCAAAATGGTATCTTCAAACTGGTGAAAATACACCATGCCAAGGGAAGATATTCCTTTCCTGATAGCCTTCTTTCCCTTCCCTTCCCAATGGTTTTCTTTATTCAGTCCTTCCATCTTTTTTTAAGAATTCCTTTCTTGACTAATTTCATATTTTGACTTAGATCTGCCATTTTTTTAATCCATCCAGCAGGATTGTCTAGTCAACATGAGAAGGTTTCAGAGATGATCTCAATTGATGTATATACAGTATCTATCACAATTTGGCACTGTCCTTTTGAACCTTGTCTTGCCTGCAAGCCCTGTTCATTGAATTTAAGTCATTTCACTCTATGTGTATAGATTTTCATATAGAGATTTTTCTTTCCTCACCGCTTTCATTTCTCTGGATCCCCGCCAGTTAATGCACCTCTTGCATTGACTGTTAAGCAGAATTTAATAAATACATTTGTATCCAGAATCTGCATTTAAACCATTAGCCTGCATTGTGATGCCTTGGCATGCAGGTACAATTGCCTAGAATTTGTGACTGTTTTGTCCAGAAGATAATGCATGCTGTTTCAAACTCCTGAAGCAGTTTGAATGTCCAGTTAGATTGGAAATGTCTGAAGAGAATGACGATGGATGCTTGTAGGCTATTTCATAAAGACAGGCAGGGAGGAACGGGAGGAAGAGGTGCACTCTTATGTTAAAGGGAACCTGGAATGTACAGAAGTCAACTATGGTGATTGTGGAAATCCTATCGCATGCCTCTGGGTCAAGATCAGAGGGGTCATCTTCAAGGGGGATGTTACAGAAGGCATCTGCTACCAACCTCCAAACCAAGATGGTAAGGCCAACGAAGCAATATTTGGGTCACTTAAGCAAGCTTTGGATCAACAGAACCTGGTTCTTACGGGTGACTTCAGCTATATTTGTTGGTAGAACAATACATCAGCTCATCATCAATGTCATCCATCAAATACATCAACAATGTCATCTGTCAAGTTCCTGGAATGCACAAAGGACTGCTTCCTCATATAATCGTTAGATGTGCCAACCAGAAATGAGGCTGGACTCGCTACTCACAAACCAAGAAAACCTGCTTGGTAGTATCTTAGTTAGTGATAGCCTTGGCTGCAGTGATGACAGTATTGTGGAGTTTGGGATCCTGCTGAGCATGCTGAAGGTTAGTACTAAGACAAAGGGTTTAGACTGTAGAAGAGTAAATTTCCACTCACTGAGAGCTTGAATGGGAGGGATTCTGTGGGAAGCTTCCGTGGAGGATAAAGGAGCTAGTGAGTGCTGGGAGTTTTTTGAGATCGCTCTCGTGGAAGCACAAAAACAGTTCATCCCCTTTAAAGGTAAGGGAAGCAGGCAGAATAAGAGACCCCCTTGGCTTAATTGTGAGCTTCTGAGTCTGCTCAAAACCAAAAGAGAAGCGTACCAGAGATGGAAAAGAGGATGAATTCCTGTTGTGAACTACAAGGTCGTTGCCAGGGTGTGCAGAGGTGCAGTTAGAAAAGCAAAAGCTCAGCTTGAATTGAAATTGGCAAGAGATGTCAAAAAATACAAGAAAGGGTTCTTCAGGTACCTAAACAACAAGCAGAAACAGAAGGAAAATATTGGCCCACTCTTAAACAGGAGAGGTGAATTAGTCACCAACAATACTGAAAAGGCAGAGATTCTCAACACTTCACCTCTGTCTTTACCAGCACTGTTGGGCCCCAGGCCTTGTGAGCAAAAATCCAGGTTGATGCAAACACAGACCTATGTCAGTGAAGGAAGAGTTGGTATGTGAACTGTTGCAGGAGCTTGATCCCTACAAATTGATGGGCCCTGACAATATCTACCCAAGGGTGTTAAGAGAGCTAACTGATGTTGCAAGGCCACTTTCCATAATATTTGAGAAGTCATGGAGATTGGGGGACATCTCAGAAGACTGGGAGAAGGCTGATGTCACCCCTATCTACAAGAGAGGCTTAAAGGAGGATCCAGGAAATTACAGGCCTATTAGTCTTCAGTCCCTGGGAAGGTTATGGAACAAATCCTCCTGGGGGCTATCACAATTCAAATGAAGCATGTGATTGGGAAAGGCCACCATGGATTCACCAAGGGCAAATCTTGCTTGACAAACCTGGTCTCCTTCTACAACAAAGTAACCTGCTCAATTGATGTGGGGCAAGCAGTGGACATTGTCTATCTGGATTTCTCCAAGGCTTTTGATTTGGTTTCCAATAGCGTGCTCCTACAGAAAGTGATGTGTTATGGTCTAGACAAGTGGTCTGTGTGGTGGGTGGGGAATTGGATGATAGGCCATACCCAGAGGGTGGTGGTGAATATCTCCTTTTCAGACTGTCAACCTGTCACAAATGGCGTCCCCCAAGGACCGATACTGGGCCCAACGCTATTTAATATCTTCATTAAGTGATCTGGATGATGGGGTCAATTGTACCCTGATGAAGTTTGCTGATGATACCAAACTGAGTGGGGAAGCATACACTTTGGAGGGGAGGACCACCCTGCGGGAAGACCTGGATAGACTGGAAGAGTGGGCTAACAAGAACCTTATGAAGTTCAGCAAAGATAAATGTAAGGTCGAGGAAAACCTGGGAAAACATAATGCAGGAGTGCAGCACAGGCTGGGATACAACTGACTGGGAAGCACCTCTGTGGAAAGGGACCGGCGGGGGGCCTGGTGGACAAGCTCAGTAAGAGTGAACAGTGTGCTGCTGCAACAAAGAAAGCCTACAGGATGCTGGGTTGCATCAACAAGGGCATCACCAGCAGAGATAAAGAAGTCATTAGCCCACTTTACTCGGCACTTCTCAGGCCATACCTAGAATACTGTGCTCAATTTTGGTCCCCACTATACAAAAAAGATGTGAACAGGCTGGAGAGGGTCCAGAGAAGGGCCACAAAAATGATCAAAGGACTGGGAAGCCTGCCATATGAGGAAAGGCTGAGAGACCTGGGTTTGTTCAGCCTTGAATAATTCAAGAAGGCCTAGAGGAGACCTTATCACTATGTTACAGTATTTAAAGGGTGGCTACAAAGGAAAAGGAGACTCCCTTTTTACCACGAGTTATATGGAAAAGTCAAGGGGTAATGGATACAAGTTACTCCTGGGGAGTTTCTGATTGGATACACAAGGGAAATTTTGCACCATGAGAACAGTCAGCTATTGCAGTAATTTCCCCAGAGAAGTGGTGGATTCCTGAACACTGGACACTTTTGAGATTCGGTTGGACAGGATGCCAGGCCATCTTGTCTAAACTGTGCTTTTGCCAAGAAAGGTTGCACCAAATGATCCTTGAGGGCCCTTCCAACCTGGTATGCTATGATTAGTTAGAACCCAATGTCTGAATTATTTGGGCAATTTGAAAAGTCTCAATCTATACAACCAGAGAATTGATTTTTGTAGCTTTTGCTACAACGTAGTGTTTCTTTTAAATCTTTTAATTGAAAAGCAATCATCTCTCTGAGGTCTAGGAGGTAAAGATGACGTGGTATTGTTATTACAAAAATAATAATTTTTGAGTTTAGCATGTAACGTTGCTGATGAAGATCAGAAATCTATTTTTAGCAAATTCATGCTTGAATTCTTACTTTCTACACAGACTGCATCCTCAGCTATTAAAGGTGCTATCCAGCTGGGAATAGGATACACAGTAGGAAACCTTACATCAAAACCAGACAGAGATGTTCTTATGCAAGACTTCTATGTAGTGGAAAGTGTCTTCCTACCAAGGTAAGGACAAGCCTATTCAATTTATTTTCAATGGAATTTCATAATGAAACTCTAACTAGATATTTCAAACAAGGATTGTTTTCCAGTTATAATGAAATCAGGTTAAATTGAATGTGTAAGAACTTGAAAATTGTCCTGTCTTCATATTGTCATTGAAAATGACAGTAGGGAGAAAACTGGAAAGATCACACTTCAACTGAAGATTTGAGACTTGTCACTTCTAGAGGAGGAAAGTAATTGTGACACTTTGAATTAAAGGAGCTGTTAATTACAATTGGAAATGATTTGTAGATCTATAGGCAACTAAGTATTATGTCCAATACTCATATTTGTTTAGTTTCAGTTTAGTTTCTAAAAACTGACAATACTACTTCCCATTTTGTTGAGGTGTTGCCAAAATCTATGAAAATCCAAGTCTTGCAGTGTTAAGAGTAAGAATTTATACTACACTATAAAATTCTAGCCAGGACTTTAGCCTGTGATGAGGCTAAGCTTTTACGAGCTGGCTACAGGTTGTGCACGGTTACTGCTTTGCATTTGGCCATCTCAGTGTGTATCACTGCCAAGTTGATGGTATAGAATTTATAGTAATACAGTTATGTGGATGAGAGAAATCAGGGCCATACTCATTTTGAGGGTTCAGAAGCTGAAGTACAATGCCATGTAACTTTTCCAAGTTACGTATGCTAGGAATGGACAAAGAAGGTTTAGGAAAAATATATCTCAAAACCAGGATGATTTGCTCTGTTCAGTGTTTCCTGGGTTCTTAGAAGTGCGAAGTAGCAGTAGTACCCTTCACTTCCATAAGGACATGCTATGTAAGCAGTATTCCCTGCATTTGGGAATGCTTTATATGAATTTTCAAAGTTTTGTTCATGTGCAGTTTGAATACTACTTCATGAACTGTTTGTAATAATTTACAATCCTTAAAAATTACTAAAGTCACGAAAACAAAATGACAATGTACAAAATAATTGTACACTTCATAGTTGATCTCATGTAAATTTGCATGATTCATCTCCTGTTTTCCTCTGAACTGTGAGATATCCTTTAAGAAGGATAAAATGTATTTCTTATATGAAATGAAGCTTTTACATCACATTCTTTAGTTCCTAGTAACTGAGCTTATTCATAGTCTTGTTCTGGTGTTAACTGTAAGGTTTGTGCAGTTTTGTAGCTTTGTAGATTAGGTAAATATGGAGAAGTTAACTATATGCATGTTTTCATACACTGTAATCATAGAATTTTGTTTGTTTAAAAAATCCAAATTACAGCTGAGAAATTTGCATTTCATGTGACAAAGTTTTTATATCTGAAAAAGGAGTGAGAGGGAGTGAGCCATCGTATCTGTGAAATGTGCGACTATGACAGTGATGCAGGCTTCTGTAGTTTGTTTGGCTGTGATACCAGCTTTGTTGTTCATGGAAATTTGATGAACGATATGTACTAAAACTGTTTTATTACATAGCACAGTTTTGGAAAAAAATGTAATCTCTATCCTTTTTAACATAATTTTAAAGGAACAAGTAAAATAAAATGGTTTGTAGCCCATAGCTTTGCATATGTCTTCTCTCCTGTGACACTTACATGCATATACACTCAGAAATGAAATTTCCGTGTTTTGTGTTGGTTTTAAGGGACAGCTGGGAGAGATCTCTTCTGGCTTAAAAAGAAAACAAAGGCAGAAAGAATAGCCTGTTTGCACTAACATAAAATGTATTATAAAAGCTTTAGTAGCACCTTTCTGGACAGTTTCCTATAAATAAATAAATCATATGAGGAAAATTAGACAAATGAAAGTAATGGCCAGAGCAGCATAGCTTTTTTTTTTTGCATAGCTGTGTAGTAAGCAGGAGTATATAAGAGTGAGTCATCTTGACTGTAACAAAGAGCCTCCCTAGAAAGAGCACTTGCTGATAACATTCTCTGTGAAACTAAAAATTGGCTCTCCGTAGCAATCTCTCAAAACTATGCACTTAATTTCTTATGCTAATGCACAGAAATGTCAAATTTCAGGTCCTTCCTATGTCTCAATGTAACATGCACATTCATTTATCTAAAACAGTTTCAATCCAAAGTGGTATTAGTTTGCATAAATTGTAATAATTTAGGATTGCACATAATGATACAGGCTTCTTTCTTGCTGGTTGAGGGTGTTGGGACGTTGAGTGTTCCATGATGGTATTATGTAGATCACTCCTGAGTTATATCTATAGGTAGCTTCATTACCATAATCGAAAGTAAAAAGCTAAAGTTGCATGTTCTTTCCAGATAGGGCTGCGCTCCCAAGGTGTACCTCAGGTCCTCTTTACTTTTTCCTAGCAAGGTATGTACATGTGAAGGCAGTATTGTTAAAAGTCCTTACTTTAATGACTTTTTTTTTCCCCTTTGGATTGGTCTGGGTTGAAAGCAATTGGTTGATATTAGTTACACTAGCAGGTCCAGTGGGCTGGCTTCTACCTGGAACCACCCTTGAGCAAGCCGAAGTTAAGTAAGCTTTTTGCTAGATGTCCGGAGCTGGAGGAGAACCTGATAGTGCAGCAAGTGTGATGCTGAAAGCAGGTGCATAGCAAGCAAGGAACAGCATTTTTCCACTTGCTTTGAGTATGCATAATTCAGCTGCAACTCCAAGCAGGCTATTAGCTGAACTTCCCCTTCATTGTGGCCAATTCACAGCAAACCTGCCTCTTCGCAAGCTGTCCTGCTCCACCTTCCTGCCATGTTTTTCCTGTGTCCAGCTCACCTCATCTGGGTCTGGCAGTGAGGTGAGATGACAGCTGTTTTGCAGTCATAGGCACACCTGCAACTTTGACAGCAATAGGACCACTGTTATGGTGGCAGTGATAAAATAGACCTGAGCTCGTAGAAATGCAATGAAACAGCAGCATGCAAGCCAGAGAGCAAAGTAGTGTTGTCTCTGCCCTTTTACTGTTACGGAAAAATGGTCAACAGTTGTTTATAAATTTTATCAGTTGCAGAAGATAAATAGTCTCTGTGTATCTCTTAGTCCTGGAAGTAAACCTCAGCACTGCCTGTACCTCAGCTTTGGTAACCATGGCAAAAGACTTCCAGCGGTGTTCAGGATTCATGAAGGAGAGAGAAAAATGCCAGGGAAAAAATGTGGTCATTTCAGACCTGAACATAACTGCCCTGATTATTGTGGAGCTACTGATGTAAATCAGGAGTAAGTCCATGGATTGCAGGTTATGCCTGGGCCACAGTTACTTTGTAACTGGGTTAAATTGGCCAGTGTTTAGCCCAGATTCATTTAGGTGTTTCTTTTAGGAAGTGACCTTGAATGAAATACAAGTGTCTCTGTACAGTGGGTGGATTTGAATTGCAAAGGTGCTTGCTTTCATTTGTACATTGTAGTGGTGGAGGTGGTGGAAAAGGGCCTTTGTCACTTTCTGCTTTATATTGTGGCATCCTCTTCATCCCTTTCTCTTCGGGCTGCCCAGGAGTTTATAACACGTTGCTTTTGGGAACTAAGTGAGGTATTACTAGTGATTCTATAGAGAAGTTCATTGAGAGCCATGGTCCAGATTGAGTTTAAATGGCACTATGCAAATGTGCTCCTTGGACTGAGAAATAAATGCAGTCTGCAGTGACCCAGATGATTCTGAAGATAGTGTCTGAAGTCCCTGCCCAGCTCCCTGAATAGGGTGAAACAGCAGGGGTAACTACTCCCAAGTAACCTTTCTTCTGGCTTTTAAACACTGCTTTGGAAATCCAGCAATGGAGTTACTTACCTGGTGCTGGTACTGCTGCAGCAGGGGCTGGAGGGTTCAGTGGGAAGGTTGTGCATCCTGCCTGTGCTCTCTACGCTCTGTCATATGACTGAGCCTTGTGGAGCTTGTGCTCCCCTTCCTGCATTACACTTGTGATAAATAATATTGTAGTTTTGCCTAGGCCGTAACAGATAGGCAGTTGGAAAGAACGTAAGTTTCCAGGTACCCAGGTCTGAGGACGGAGACAGGGTAATGTGTGTTCGGCTATAGGGTTAAGTTGCTTTGGCTGACACCACTTATCCTAGCCATGATTAGTCTCTACCTGGTTGTCACCTTCCTGCCCTTATATGGAAGAAAGAAAGGATTAACTGTCAACTTGGGTTCACAATATAACCGAAACAATAGAGTGCAGGCGCCAGAATAAGGAGTTCCACTTTGAGCCTTCACCCCATGACCCTCAAAGAAGACCCCTACAGAACAGTGCGCAGACACAAGTGGGAGAGTATAGATGTAAGTAACTTCGGGGAAATCATTTGAATATGGATAAGACTTCCGAGAAATGGTATGAATATGAATGACTGTCCTAAATAAATATGTGGAAGTGAGACCAACCAGTGTGCATGCAGCAGAATCATGGAGGTGGTCTCCTGTGCACCTGGTGCTGAAATAAAACTTTGCTCCACGGATTTTGTCCTCTCTTAAAAACTACATAGGTGAGTGTTTCTCACACACTCTATGCCCCTGACTTCTTTGGTTGGATCCAGTTCATTTCTTGGTGGCACGTTTTGTCTCCAAATCAGTCATTTGTGCAATGTGGCTGCAGCAATGTTTTGACAGCTGTTTGATTCAGGTGTGCAGCTGGCTTCCAAGTAATGTGGCCATGGTTAGAAAGGCTGCTTGCTGAGCGAATAAGTCAGGCAGTGGTGGCTTAAGCTGGTCTCTGGGCCATGGAGCTGTGCAGCTGCCTGTGAGTTGGCAGTATGAGCAGCCTGCTAAGCTCCTTCAGCAGACATATACTAAGTAGACACAATTCCTATGATGATGCTTGAGAAACCAAACAGAAGCTGCTCTATTCTGTCAGCTAGCTTTGGCCAGTCAGTTGTATGCAGCTTCAGAAATGCAGAGAATTTGGAGCAAGGCAGTATGTTTCAGGCTCCATCTCTTTTTTTTTTTTTCTTAGATGGAGGCTGCTGCTAAGCACAGCTGTGAGTTCAGCCTTTTTACAGCAAGCTGTTAATCAGTTTTGTGCACTTCCCTTGTTAATACACTTTATTTTCAGGGTCTAGACCCTGCATATTGAGAATACTTGCTATGGTTTCTAATTTAACTAGTAAGGCTATTAGATGCTGTTGACCTTTATGCACCCTGCAGCTACAGTGATCTGTACAGCAAACTGGTTCAATTACAGATTGCTTTCTTGTGATGCTAATGAAATATTATTCCGAGTTTTCTGTTATTTAATGTCAAATGCTTAATATTGTATTATGATAGCATTTGGATGGTGGCCCAATTAAGTATTCAAAAATACTAAGAAAAGTAAAACCCTGGACATATTTTATCTAGTCTGTGTTTTAACCTACATCTAAAACTGAAGTGAACTGTTTTCTGGTATGTTTTTCAGGACTGATTTAGAAAAGTGAGGAAAATTTCCACTTGCCCTTGGAAATATCTTTGTACCAGCCCCGTACCGTAGGTTACCTGATGGGCCAAGTACCGTCTTTGTAATTAAAGAAGTATAGAATGCTCTGCAGGCTCCATGTGAATAGTACTCAAATGTTCACACTAATGCTTAGTTGTTTTGTAACTTATACCACTGTTTTTGTTTCTACTTGGGCAGTTTCACAAGGCAGATGAGAAAGTGCCCTGAAACCTTTGATAAAGCATTGCTGCTATTCTTTGGTGCTTTGTTTGCAGCAATGCACAGGATGACTCAAGTTTTGACACACTTTTTATGGTTTGTGAGTAGAGTGATAGCACAGATAGCAAGAAGTTGTTTCTGTTTGCAAAACAAACAGTATTTGAAATGGAGATGCTGTAGCAACAAAACCAAAAACATTTTTATTGTGAATTACTGATCCTAGCTACTTCTGTTACTGTCAAATTCTTGGTAAACAGATATTTTTTTGATATCTGGATAACCTGGATATTTGTGTGGTTATGTAGACAAACTGTTTTTGAAGTACTCTGAGATCCTTTGCTTTGATGGCATCTCCGGTTGGTTGTGAAATACTCATCAGAAAAATCACCATCATCAGAAAATGTCTGTGTATTCAGGTGTTACATAGATATGATTGGCTTGACTTAAATATATATGGTAGACTATAAAGTGATTAGACAAGTTCATTAAGACTGGGTAGCCTTCAGTAGCTGTTAACTGTGTGATTTAGCATACTGCTGCTTCTTGGAGTGCTAAAGTCTTCGTATGTAACCTTGGTCATCCACAACCATCTTTTTATTTGTGATTTCCAGAGAGAAATCAGGTTGTTTTTTTCCCTCCTTTCTTCTTCTGTTCTAGAGTCTAAGGTATATGCATTTCTAGAGCCTGAGAAAGCTTGTTCACCAGCTCACACTGTTTAATTAGCAGCAGTTCAGTTCTGTTGGGTTTTGATGGTAAGCATGCAGAGGCAGCTAGGTGGGTTGGGTAGGCTTCTATTGTTATCAAATTGTTATTAATGGAAGGTGACAAGTTCATATGACAACCATTAATTGTACAGCATCAAAGCTCTTAAATATTTTTGTGATATTTAATTTAATCTTTGCAGGAGTGTTGCTTAGAGTTTATTCCTTTTCATATTTATGTGAATTTGTAGCTTTTTTCTTTTTTTTTTTCTTTTTCGTATACTTTGGATATTCTTACTGACAAACATAGAGGTACATGCTGCATTTCTGAATAATTTAATTAGGGTAAATGAGTAAAGAAGTGCTGTAAGAGCTGATTTCAGCCACTGTGGATATTGTTCTTATCTATTTATCAGACCATTCAGAGACTGACCAGACTTCGTCTTAAAGCTCTTCTTGTTTGTGTTAAAATCATACTGGAGAACTTTACTCTTCCACTTAAAAGCTGCCTTTTAGTTTCCGTCATAAGTGAATCCACAGACAGTTTTCGTATATTTTTTTCTTCTGGCAGCATGTGATGCTGACCTTTTCCTTTGGTTTACATCATGTAAACTCTTTTTTTTTTTTTTTTTTTTTTTGGCTTTTCCCCTTTAAGAAAAACTGCCTTGCAGTCTGCTCAGTCTGGTAGTCTTTGTCTGTGCCTCTTCTACTTTGAATCTGTATCTTGCATATAACTGCGTACCATTTTCCAGAATTCCCCAAAGGGACTGTACCCTGTGTTCCTGTTTAACCAACTGAACATATTGAACATGTAAGCTGGTGCTGTTGTAGATGGAGGTGGGGTAAAATACATTATGTGACAGGCAGACAAACAGAAAACCACTTTAAGGTCAGCAAAGTCAGAGTGGCTTCCCAGTTCTGGACTGTACTAGCAAGAAAGAGAGAGATACCGTAACTGCAGTTAGCCTGCAGAAGAGACTAACGCTGAGGATGCTGTTTCATAAATAAGGCTGAGCTACTCAGTGTGTGCTGGCATCAAAAAACATGCTTCCTTCCTACTGCTTCCTTCCCCCTGCTCTGGCCATACGGTTCTGCCCTCTGTGTTGTGCTGTCTTTGGTATCCATCTGACTCCCCTGCAAACCCGTTCAAGTCACCAAGCTAGTGTGAAGTTGTTGTGCTGCATTGACTTCCAAACTTTTTGCAAGAGCTTACATGAGGTGAGAGTGACTCTTCTGCACCAGTAGGCTATTGGACTGGCTTGCCTTGGAGGGGTATCAGAAATTGTAGCATTAGTTTAAAACTGATCTTTATGCAAATGGATATGGGTAGTGAAAATAGTCATTTCTTTTAAGGCGGGAGAAATTAATTTGCTGGCAGTATTCTGTCTCTCACAGACATTTCTATTATACTGATTAATCGTGATAGGGCAGTTTATCTGCGTTTATGAGTCTTGTCTGAGAAGGCCAACGGTTGAGTTAGGCGGCTTTACAGTAAAACTAGCTGCAAGAAGGAAGTCATTAAAAATTGCTCAGTAATAACTGGGTTTGGTTTATTTTTGTTTTTGTTTTCAGTGAAGGGAGCAATCTCACCCCTGCTCATCATTACCCTGACTTCAGATTTAAGACGTATGCGCCTCTTGCATTCCGCTATTTCAGAGAACTTTTTGGTATCAAGCCTGATGATTACTTGGTAAGAGCTTGCAGTTTTTCTTTGAGTTACAAATAATTATGAAGTGTACTAGTTTCATAGTGACGGAAGAGGATGCTCTAGTGGTGCCCAAATGGGTAGTAAATTTTGTGTGTGGAGTGGTTTGTAGCTACTGAAAATTTTTAGTGTTTTATGAAAATTTTAGTTCTTCATCTTTGAGATGATTCATATAAAAACTTGCCTTGTTAATTGACTAGAGTGACTTGAGTATTACTGCTCATTCAGGTCATTGATTCTAGAGAAGTTATAATCAATACTTGGGTGACTTCTACCAATTCATTCTTAATAAAGTGCCCTTGTGTTATTTGTGTTATTTATTCACTTCATTAAATAGGTGTTTGTCTGCAAATGTTCCAATCTAGCCTTGAGAAAAGTGGGTGGCGGGCTAAAAAAAGAAGCATTTTAGAATATCTGCTTTCTTCTCTGTATTTTATAGTTTGAAGACTTATTCCTTCTCAATATTCAACTGTTTGTGTGAGAAGAAAAGAATGCATTTGCTGCCATCATGAAAGCAGGCTTTACTTGGTAGAACCACTTTATGCACTGCCAGGGATGAGGATCTACTATTTTACTCCTCCTGTAGTTCTGTTTTTGGAAGGGTAGTGTGAAAGCAAAGAGCTGAATTGTTTTCTTGATATTTGTTTCATGTGCAGTTTGTCTCATGCCAGTCCACCCAACAAACCAGAGTCCTGGTACAAATAAGCAATTTTTTACATTGGAATTTTATTTTTAACTTCTATTGAATGAGTTTTTAGATCTTTTTGTTCCATTATTGGTAACTGTTTCTTTAAAACCAAAAGGATTTGAAAGAGCTTGAATGAATAAAAAAGAAAAATTGATTAAATGGTGCTGAAACATTACTTAATATATTTAGTTCACGACTTCTGTTGTGTTCAGATGTCTTATAAAGGGTTTTTTCCTTCTTAGACAATGAGCCTAAAAGCATAACTTAGCTGGTTTTGCTTTTATTTAGGTTGAATGTGAGTGTCTGATTTTAGTTCTTTAGTACTATGTATGGATTTTGTATTACTAGCCCCCATGACAATAGTTAGATATGAAAACAGATCATTCCTTTGAATTACAGATGTTAGGAGCAAGGAAGTGCCGTTGGGTTAATGTTTTATAAATCATAGAATCATAGCATGGTTTGGGTTGGAAGGGACCTTGAAGACCACCCAGTTCCAGCCCCCCTACCCTGGGCAGGGACACCTTCCGCTAGACCAGGTTGCTCAAAGCTTCATCTAACCTGACCTTGAACAATTCCAGCGATGGGGCATCCACAGCTTCTCTGGGCAACCTGTTCCAGTGCCTCCCACCCTCCTAGTGAAGAATTTCTTCCTAATATCTAATCTAAATCTTCCCTTTTCCAATTTAAAGCCATTGTCCCTTGTCCTGTCACTCCACGCCCTTATAAAAAGTCCCTCCCCAGCTTTCTTGTAGTCCCCTTTTAGGTACTGGAAGGCTGCTCTGAGGTCTCCCTGGAGCCTTCTCTTCTCCAGGCTGAAGAACCCCAACTCTCTCAGCCTGTCCTCATGGCAGAGGTGCTCCAGCCCTCTGATCGCCTTCATGGCCCTCCTCTGGACTCGCTCCAACAGGTCCATGTCCTTCTTGTGTTGGGGACCCCAGAGCTGAAGGCAGTACTGCAGGGGGGATCTCACCAGAGCAGAGTAGAGGGGGAGAATCCCCTCCCTCGACCTGCTGGTCACGCTGCTTTGGATGCAGTCCAGGATATGGTTAGCTTTCTGGGCTACAAGTGCACATTGCCAGGTGATGTTGAGTTTCTCGTCAAAAACCAGCACCCCCAAGTCCTTCTCCTCAGGGCTGCTCTCAATCCATTCTCCGCCCAGTATTTGTGCTTGGGATTGCCCCAGCCCATATGCAGGACCTTGCACTTGGTCTTGTTGAACTTCGAGGTTTGCATGGTCCCACCTCTCAAGCCTGTCAAGGTTCCTCTGGCTGGCATCCCTTCCCTCCAACGTGTTGATGGCACCACACAGCTTGGTGTCGTCAGCAAACTTGCTGATGGTGCACTCAGTCCCACTGTCCATATCTCCGACAAAGATATTAAACAGTGGTGGTCACAATACCGACTCCTGAGGAGTGCCTTTTGTCACTAGTCTCCACTTGGACATTGAGCCATTGACCACAACTCTTTGGGTGCAACCATCCAGGCAATTCCTTATCTACTGAGTGGTTGGACAGTGGTGACACTATGTAATATGTTGTTTGTCTATCTCCTTATATGGACTTGACAAAAGACAAGTATGCAGGCTGTGTTGCCAGCTGCTAAAAAGACTGTACTTCCTAGAGTAAAGCTATTGTCACCTGCAACTTGTATTCCATCTAAGGAAGCATGTGCAGTAGAATAAAGTAAAGATTACAGAAAGACTGCTTGCTGTTGGTCGGAGATTTCTGACACTCAGCTACAAATGACTAATCCCTGAGGGAAATTCCCAGTAAAGGCAACTTGGTGCAGATTCTTTTTCCTCTTGGCACAGCAAGGTATGTTCTACTCACTCTGCAAGCATGTTAGAATCCATTTCTGTTGTTTCTGATTCTAAATGGGCATTGCTTTGCTTGCAGTCAAAGCAGGTTGCAGTCCCATGCAGTCTAGAGCAGATGTGATCAGAGGCGTACTATGATCATAAAACAAAACTATTTTTAATTTGGGACCCTTTTCCAATTGGTTATGACCAAAACATCTGGTTAAGAGTTTGCTCCCAATAGCATGTGTCAGCAGGGTTCTGGCTGAACAGTCCATCTTGTTTCTGTGAAATCTGGATCTGTCATGTACTGACTGTAATTCCAATTCAGTATCTAAAACACTTTACTGTAACAACATGCCAAGTGATGGTCCAACTGTGGCTGAAGGGAAAGGAATTAAAGTAAAAAGAGGAGAAATTACAGCAAGTATATGTGAATGTACACTGTTAATTTGAAATGGCAAAGCCCGAAGACTTACAGTTTCACCTTTTCCAAGGAGGTTGAGTGATAATGCGCTGTAGGAGTCAGACTGGATAATGAGGGTAAATACATTTCAACAGCTGGTAGAATTAAATTGTCACTGAAAACCCCATGGAGTACTGGTATTTTGCAGGGAAACTTCTTAATCATAAAGTACTTAATTGTCAGGGGTTTGGGGATTTTCTTACTTTTCAGTTTTGATTTGGCTTTCATAAGTGTTCAGTCAAAATTAGCTGGTTTTTTTGTATAGCACTTGGTTGGTGGACTTTTATTTTACAAGAACTCAGCTGTAAAGTGACCCACACACAGTGTAGGTAAATAACTTGTGCTTATGCTATACTGGTTTATTGAGCTTTAATGTTTAGGATATTTGTTTTCAAATGCTTACAACAATGACAATTACTCATGAAGCTTTTTATATTTTGGCAAGAAAAGTGCACGGGTTGCAATACAACTCCTTATTTGCTCTGAAGGTCTGTAGTGTTACGGACCAGTATTGCTATTCTATCTGGGGACAGTTGCAACTATAGGATTAATAGGAAAGGTCTCTCATATTAACTGGAACTGAGTGAAATGGAGAAGCAGGAGGAGAAACAGGAAACATTTTTATAGCATGCAAAAGTCTCTTCAAAATTGCAAGCATGGGAAAAGGCTCAGCTGGAGCTGCAGTAAGAAAATGCATTAAGGCAGTGGTTTGAGTCCATAGGAAATGCTCACAAAAGAACATATTTATTAGATTTTCTTGTGTCACTTTCCTTTGCTATCGCCACCTGCTGAAATCAATGGCAAGACTCCAGTTGAATGTAATGAAAGTTGTTTTCAGCAAACAAAACTGTTTTTTCTTGGGAATGGCTCAAATCTTCTCAGGCAGTGACCCAATAAACCAGATACTCATTACTGAAACAGTTATTCCTTTTGTTCTGGGAAGACCAGAAGACATACTGCACCGCTAAGAATACTTCCCTGGTGCTTACGCTACTCACAATTCATCTCCTGTGTAATTTTGTTTCTTTTGAAGATTGAAGCCTTAAAGTATTGGACTGTACAGTAAATCTCCAAGTGAGTAAAACTGATGATATGTAACAAAGGAAAAGAGTGTGTGAATGAAAGTTTAATGGTATTATATTTTAATAGCTCTTGAGTTTAATATAAAAAGATTTTTCTATGTTTTTGAGCTTAATGCCTCCTCTGTTTAGTCTGAATGAAGCATGAAGTGTGAATTAATGGAAATTTAATAAATGTACATTGGCCTCTGGGTGAGATCTGGTTCTACTAGTAAAGAATACTCCTTGGTGTCTTTTTCCTCCTTAACGTGATCATAATTATTACTGTATCCCTGAGGAAGAGAAAGCCTGTCTAAGCATCCAAAATAATGGTCCTCCAATTTTTCCTACTTACTAATATTTAGTTTTTCTCTTTCAAGCAGTTTTCAGTTGGTAAAACTACATTAGCAGCTGTACCGAGATTATTATTATTCTAATGGTTTCAATCCCAATTTCACAGGACTAGCCTATTTGTCTATAGTGAGAAACTTCCACTCTCAATGTGTTTGTCTAACATGTTCCTGTATGTGCTTCATAAATGGCTACAAAAAGTGAACAGTTGCAGTGAAAATGTCATCTTAAGGCTTCTGACTCAAGAATTTGCAATGCTGATGGTGTGGGAATGGACTCTCTCCACCTCAACCACTTGCTTCACTCCAGGGAAAGTTCAGCTGGTGCAGTGGGACCTGAGGAGGGACTGTACGCTCGGCTGCCAACTGCTCTTCCGTGGTTGTGCACTGTGTCCTGGGCAGAGTGTAGTGTAACAACTGCCCTGCCAAATTTCAGCCAAATTACTGTAACCCAGCATGCTGTACAGTAGTAGAGTTGCTGCAGTTGAAGACCAAAGAATAAGCTCCATGATTCTGCTGTGCCTATTTGAATCTCCAGTTCTCTGTATTAAACTTATGTTTGAGTAACGTTGGCAGTGAAAAACAATTTTTGTCTCTTCTAGTACTCAATCTGCAGTGAGCCTTTAATTGAATTATCCAACCCAGGGGCCAGTGGATCCTTATTTTTTGTAACTGGTGATGACGAGTTCATCATCAAAACTGTTCAACACAAAGAAGCTGAGTTTCTTCAGAAGCTCTTGCCAGGTTATTATATGGTAAGTAATTGAAGACTATGTTTTACCTGTATTTTTCCTGTTTCATGTCATACTTCTGAAGATTCAGTTTCATTTGCTGTCTTTTAATCTTTCATAATATTTTTTACATTTTTTACCTGTCTTTCAACTTTGTACCCCACACACCCATCAGAAACAATACATATAAATCAAGAATATATTTAAGATAATAATTGCTATTCTTTTAGCATTCAAGATGAAGCTGAATGTCATCTTCTGATTTGATACCAAACTTTGCTTCTAGTAAGCTAGTAAGAAAAAAAGGTTTATAAATTTCTAATTCAATTTTTTTTTCTCCGTTTTGTGTTTGTCTACCCTCTGCATTTCACTCAGGGTGGACAAAGAAGCTAGACTGGTCAGTTTCACTTTTGTTTCTGGATTACTTCCAATTTCCATTTCTCATGTATTAAAACAATGATGTAAAAAATATTTTTATCTATACCATTTGTTCAAAACTTGATTTTAAAATGGAGCTTTTTGAGTGCTAATGCTAAGTCGATTGTATTGTTTTAAGTGTGTCAGTCATCAGAAAGGGAAACCATTGGTCCAAAGTAAGTAGAAATTAATTCTCCTTTGTTTTGGTTTTTTTTTTTTTTTTTTAAACAAAAGCCACTCATACATATGAACGGAGATTATTCTGGGTGGTATGCAGGACTTTGGAGTATTAGACCTGTGATTGACCTTCTTTTCTTTCTTTGCTTTCTTAACTAAACACTTGAGAAGTTACCCTGTCACTTGTACTAAAAATGAGGAATATTGTCATTATTACATGAAAGCAACATGGATTCACTGTTTGTTTAAAAAAAAAAGATGCACTGATGGCATCAGAAAAGCAATGGTGGCAGGTACTTTTTTTGTTGTTTCTAATCATGATAATCCGTTCAGCATAAGTTTGAGTTATTACAAGTAAATATAAGGCTGCTTTGCTTTGTTTCTGGGAACTTTATTCTCACTGCTACCATATGCAAGAGCTTCCAAAGTGTAAAACTTTAATCACTTTGAGTATTTCCTGTGAAAGTACTTTCTTCCCATAGTTGTATGTTGTGACTTAATAATCATCTAAGACTTGAAGTAATTTTTGCCCTTCTAGCTTTGTCATGCCAAAAACTGGGAGTAGTTGTATTCAGAAGGAAGATTTGTGCTCTCACCTCTCTTATCCTCTCCTAACTAATTTTTTGCCTGTTGTTGTATTTGGATTATTTCACACTTTTCTGTTCTGATGCTCAGTTGTGGTTCTGTTATGACCTCACTTCCTGTGGAGACAACTTGGTCATTTGGCACTAACTCTCAATTTGAAAAGCCTCATGGAGACAGGGATTCTGTTTTTCAGAATCCAAGTCAAGGTACTGAGAACTACATTTGACCTAAATGCCTTCCAGCAGGTGGAATTTGAAGGTTGTTCAGGTCAGAATAAATAAATTAAATCTTCAAGATGCTTTGAGGTTTGGCCTAGTTTGCTCTTTCATGGAGTGTGAGAAAGAAGAATCTGGCATAAATGCAGTTACTGCTCTAGTCTTGGCCTATGTAAGTTCCTGGCAAAAAGGCAGTGTTTATGCTGGTCAAGTAAACTATACTGAGCAAGAAAACATGCACAGTTTTCTTGATCTTTGTTAATGTCCTTTGGGGTTTGAAAAAACTTTCTTAAGCATGGAAGTTTATTGAAAATAGACATATTTAACAATATCTCTTTCGTTTTAGAACCTGAACCAGAATCCAAGGACTCTTCTACCCAAATTTTATGGGCTGTACTGCGTTCAGTCAGGAGGCATTAATATTAGAATTGTTGTAATGAACAATGTTTTGCCACGAGCCTTGAAAATGCATTTCACATATGACTTGAAAGGCTCCACATACAAACGGAGAGCATCAAGAAAAGAGAGGGAGAAGTCCAACCCTACATTCAAAGACTTGGATTTCTTGCAAGACGTGCATGAAGGGTTGTATTTTGACTCTGAAACACACAGCGCATTAATGAAAACACTACAGCGAGATTGTCGAGTGAGTAAAAATTATTGACTATTTAAACTTCTGTGTTCACATCTGTTCTAGATATACCTCAGCAAAACAGAGAGCAGGACATGACTCTCTATGTTGTTTAACCTTCATTCCTTTTCCATCCAATTTAATTAGGAAAAACTGTGGATGCCAAACTACTGATGAAGCTTGTATTTTAGTTAAGCTGTTGGGATCTGAGATTATAGAATCATAGAATGGAGTTGGACGGGATCTACGAGAATCATCGAGTCCAACTCCTGACTCCACACTTTTTGGGACAGGCTTGGGACCATGACCACTTTCCTGGGGAACTTCTTCCAGTGTTTAACCACCCTCTCACTGAAGAACTTTTTCCTAATATCCAATCTGAACTTCCCTGATGCAGCTTTAAGACATTTCCTAGCATCCTATCACCAAGCACCAGTGATCAGCACCACCCTTTCTGCCCCTCTCATGAGGAAGTTGTAAACAGCACTGAGGTCACCCCTCGGTCTCCTCTAAACTGAACAAACCTAATAGCCTATCCGCTCCTCACACATCATGCCCTCTAGTCTGTTCACATTCTTTGTTGCCCTCATTTGGACACATTCTAGTATTTTTATATCCTTTTTATATTGTGAAGCCCAAAACTGCATTCAGTACTTGAGGGGAGGCCGCACCAATGCTGAGTATAGTAGGACAATCACTTGTTTCAACAGGTTGGCTATACTGTGCTTAACGCACCCCAGGATACAGTTGGCCATTTTGGCTACCAGGGCACATTGCTGACTCATTGAGCTTACCATACAGCACAACCCCCAGATCCCTTTCTGCAGGGCTGTCTCTCTATTTGTCTGTACATGCAGGATTACACTGATCCATCTGTGGAAATACAGATTAATGTAGGAAAATAGTCCAGTAGAGGGATTTTTTTAGTTCTTGTTCTTGCTTTCCATTAATTTGGAGAATTTAATGTTGTTGGTTTTTTTCTGAGGCACAATTAGCCCTGTGGCACTGTTGTTTAACATATGATAGACTGTATGTAGAGCTGCAAGCTCAATACTGCTTCAGTAAGTCTGCCTCTTTGTAAGTTAACAAGAGCTAGGAAACAATGGGAGAAGCGTGTCTAGTGACAGCAGTATTATTGCTGGAGCAAAGTAATTTCTTACTCAGCTGAAAAATAGTGCTTCATGTCCACATAATATTTTCAAGGCAGGAGAAGGATATCTGCTGTTGTCCTTTGAGGGGACCTCGGTGAAAGGAATCAGTGCCTCTTGTCAACACGGGGAATTGTTGTAAAATGGAATTTTTTCTGTAGCAAAGGTAAGAAAATATAAAGTAGGGAAAAGGGAAGTTATCTATGTCTCTCAGTTTCTCAAGATTCACAGGGATTGTGGAAAGAAAAGATTGGCTTTGTCTGAGGGGAATCCTAAGAGCTTCATAATAAAACAGCAGAATGGATAGACTGAACTCATCACATAGAAGAGGCATTCTGAACATCAGAGTTTGTTGTTCGCTGCCACCTGTGGTGCAAGATGGAAAGCATTGTTTTTACACATGAATAGTACTTTTTGTTTAATTATCACAGAAGTCTGCAATGCCTTGTGCTTGGTTTGTAAAGCTGGGTGACCTAATGTTCAGCTGCATATTCAGTGTGAGACATTTATCTAACACCACACATTGTTCTTTCTGTAGCCTTTTAGAGTGAGTGTTTCCTGAGCTTCTGCCATGTGTGGTAATCCAGAATGCATCAGTATGTCACTTCTGGGGATCTGGATGGCCTTTTGTGCATCCCACTGCTTGTTGAGGTTACTTACCCAGTCAAAGCCTGGGGGAATCTATTCTGTAGAAAATAATAAATGGAATCTAAAAGAGGGAACTGGACTGAAAAGTGAAAACAGGAATCAATCATTTAATTGTTAGGTATAAAGGGGGCTCTTACTGGTTCTTTGAAAGTACGGGTAGATTCTCGTTACGTGTTATTTGAGTGCTGAACTAAACATCAGGTTTTTCAGTGTGTGATCTTAGATTAACAACTCTAAAGTTAGTCTAGAGTTCTTAAAGGCCCAGCTACATCTTCGTATTATTAAAAAAGAAAATTATCTTTAAATAATCAGTGTGTATACATAAATACATATATATACACTGTAGTATAGTATGTCTCTGTGTGTCTGTAGATATGTATAATACACACTGAATGTTATATGTATAGAAAAGAAATTAACTGGCACTTTTTTTCTTTTCAAATAAGTCTCGCTCTCTGTTGTAAAACAGAGGGAACAGACACTGTTACCTTTCACATAGCTGAATTTGCTCAGCAAATGAGGTTGGATCTGACTACCTGCCTTGTACTACTGCCTTTAGAAAGAATAGAGGTACACCATCCATTTTGGGAAAAGGTCATCAGTTTTGCCACTGCTTTTTTCTGCCTATATGGTATTTGGATGGCTAGAGTGATAACTGACCTAGATTTTTAGGGCTTCAAAACCTGTCATCTCTTTTTCCTTTTACTCCAAAATGAGAAAGTTAGTGTAGGCACTAGAATTAAAAATTCATTAAAGAAAGGAAATTTTTGATCTTGCCACTATTTCAGGACTAAGAAATTATCTTCTGTGTTGCTTAAATTTGTGTTGTATTTTCATTACTCATATTTGCAATCAGAATCAGTAAGCAGTATTTTTTTTCCTGCTTCTTTAATATAAATGTCCCCGGCTGTTAGCCTCTCTCCTCCTTAAGGTCCATCAGTAAGTGCAGAGCCCTGGCAGAATTTGCTGGTGATGACAAAGAAGGCAGTGGGAACCTGCTGTGATCTGTGTCTGTTGTCACTGTATCACCTGCTCCATTCAGCAATGGACCCACATTTTCCTTGGTCAGCCATTTACACTAATATAGCAGTAGAAGCTCTTCTTTGTGCCCTTGACATCCCTTGCAAGCCTCAACTCTGTCTGAGCTTTGGCTTCCTTGACAGTAATTGCCGTCCCTACATGCCCAGGCAATGTTTCTCAATTCCTCCTTTGTAACCTTTCTGCCCACCCCTTGCTGTATGCTGCCTTTTCACATTCAAGCTGTGCTGTTGCTTCCTTGCTTAGCTGAGCTGGCCTCTTGATAACATCTCCTCAGCTGACACAGAGCTCCCTCCGCGGGGGAAAGGTAGTGGTGGGTATGGCAGTGGTGGACTACTGCTGGAGTATCAGTTCTTGTCTGTCACACCTTCCTGCAGCTCTGATGAGAAGATGCACCATCTACCTGGTTAGAGGATGGACCTGAGTGGCTCATGGCGATCTGTCATGGGCTGG